CGCAGCAACTGCTACATGGTGTGGGGGGGGGAGTTTGCGACCCCCACCCAGCAGGCCAGGGTGTCCCACACCGACCTGGTCATCGGCTGCCTGGTGGACCTGGCCACGGGGCTCATGACCTTCACAGCCAACGGCAAAGAGATCAACACCTTCTTCCAGGTGGGCTGGGACCCCTCCCCTGACCCCCTTTGGGGGTCCCAAGCCCACCCCGGGGGTCTCACAGCAGCGCTGTCCCCGCAGGTGGAGCCCAACACCAAACTGTTCCCGGCGGTGTTCGTGCAGCCCACCACCCAAAACGTGCTCCAGTTCGAGCTGGGCAAGCTCAAGGTGAGGACTGGGACCCCCACCAGGTGGGTGGTGGGCTTTGAGACCCCCCCAAAACCCCCCAAAATCCCGGGGTCACCATGAACACCACCACCACGGTATGAGACCCCCGAGACTGCCCCAAAACCCCCAGATCATCATGAATACCACCGTGGTACAGACCCCTGAGACCCCCCTAAAATCCCCCAAACCCCAAGGTCATAATAAATACCACCAGGACCCCTGAGAGCCCCCAAAACCCACCACCACCACATACAGAACCCCTGAGAGCCCCCCAAAACCCCCAAATCCCCAGGTCATCATCACCACCACCACATACAGAACCCCTCAGACCCCCAAAACCCAAATCCCCCCCAAACCCTGAGTTCATCAATGGGGTGGGGGCAGGTATTGGACCTGGGGGGGCACTGGGGGACAACTGGGAGGAGCACTGGTGAGCTGATGATGAAGGCACCGTGAGAAGAGCTCGGGGCAGATCTTCGGGCCACCCCAGAGGACCTCGGTGCCGGGGCTCTCTGGGGGTCCCCCTGACGACCCCCTCCCCGTGTCACCCCCCCCCAGAACATCATGCCCATCTCGGCGGCCATGTTCAGCAGCGAGCGGCAGAACCCGGCGCCGCAGTGCCCGCCCCGGCTGGTGATCCAGCAGCTGACGCCGGTCACCTGGAGCCGCATGCCCACCGAGTACCTGGCCGTGGAGAGCGCCCGGCTGGGAGAGCGCCAGGGCTGGGCCGTGGAGTGCTCCGAGCCCCTGCAGATGATGGCCCTGCACATCCCCGAGGAGGACAGGTGGGGACACCCCCGGGGACACCCCCCGGGACACCCCCGGGACACCCAGGGCAGCCCCAGCCTCGTGGGGTCCCAGCCACAGGAGGCCTTGGGGTCTCACCCCAAAAGTGTCATCACCAGGAGAACTTGGGGTCTCATCCCCAGGAGAACTTGGGGTTTCATCCCCAGGAGGCCTTGGGGTCTCACCCCAAAAGTGTCATCACCAGGAGAACTTGGGGTCTCATCCCCAGGGGATTTATCCCCAGGAGAACTTGGGGTCTCATCCCC